CATAAAACTGGCCAAACATTTACATTTACAGCGTTAAATGTAATGTATGTGTCTTACTGTGATTTTGTAGTTTTCTTTTATGTTAAAAAATATAGAAAGGTGCGTAATTTTTGCAAAACAGCGGCCACTGTGGTCACAAGTGGTAACTACAGGATAGCAGTGCGCTGAATTTTCCCACATTGTGGTTTGAAAACTGGCCAAGTCATGAAATAAATCAGCATTAACTAACAATAGACAACATTAAATAACAAAAGTATATTCTATTTCCATTTGTGCTGTAGAATAACTAAAATAAATGAATAAATAAAGCAGCCCTGAGATGTTGGACATCACAGATTTATAATCCAAACTAAACCTCTATGCACCCTTTCATATTATTTCATATTAAATCATATTCGTACATTATTATAATCTCAGTTTTGTGAAATCTGAGCAGAAAGAACCTTTTAATTTCATGAGCGAGCCGGCAGTCCTCAGACGAACTCAGTGTCCTTTGTGACCCTGTAGCATGAAGGATTACATGAATTCATCTAAAAGATACCTAAATATCAGCTTCATTTTAAGCTGAATTTATTATTTTAATTTACTTTTATTATATTACTGCACAAAATAAATTATGTCTTCACATGAAGATACATTTTTTTTAAAAAGCAGATTGGATTATTTCACACAGGTTGACAAACGAAGCGTGTTCAGCCTCGGAGGTCATTCTGATTATTGATTTTTTAATTTTTTTTCCCGCTTTTCAGCGCCGAGCTCAGACTGGTTTGGTGATGGAGGAGACTGTAGCATCTGTTTCACATATGTGGTGCATGTTCATAGTCACCATGATGCTTGTCCATAATTATAAGGTGCCCCACTGTTAAAAAGGTCTGCACTGAACACATGCAAAAGCCAATGAGGGAATAAATAGCCCCAAGTGGGCGAATGTGAGACAGCCTAAACTGAGAAAGGACTAACAGGGAGACATCTGCTAAACGGCCACTTTCCTAATTCGGATGAAGTTCCCTTTTTTAAAAAAAGAAAAAAAAAAAAATATGCTTGAGTATTTTAGTCGAAATGTTGAAAAATCAAAAATAACTTGTCAGGGACGGGAGTGTTGTCATTGGCAGTCGCCGATCCCACAGATCCCACGGCCAAATGAGAGCTTTAAAAGATTGGCTTTTGGTGCCAAATCCCGTTTGCTTCCTCAAAAAAAAAAAAAAAAAAAGGATTTCTTAACAGAACAGACTGCGAGCTCAAAATAAGGAGCACAGTGACCCACATAGCCTCCTTTCTTCTGCCGAATTTAGATCCTATAGATGAGACGCCGCTGCGAGATAACAGACGCGTCCCAACCGAGGTCTGCTGTGTTGTGTTCGACCTCTGAACGCGTCACAGGATTCCCATGTCTGCGCCTCTGATGCAACATTTAATTAAAGACAATAGATCCTCATTGTTCCTGATTACAAATGAGACACACTGATAAGAACAGTTGAGGAAACAAAAAGGGCGGAGGGTCTTTTTTCTGCAAGTTTCTGGGGTCTCTGGGGAAAAAGTTCCATCAGATTGGATTATTACAGGATGCAACAACACAAATTCAGTGCAGAAACTCACCCTGAAGGGGAAAATAGCTTCTCCTCATGTCTTTACTGAAGGTTTCTAACCAATAAATGTGTTTGGAAGCTTCAGAAAGTCATCTAGAGCTGAGATTTTGCTGCACACTTGAATGAACTTTGAGAATTCAGTGTCAAATTTCACTCCCCAGGACTTCATTTATCTGATCTCTTTGTTATGCGTCTTCAAGATCCTTAAGATAGCCAAAATCTTTTGGTTTTTTTTTTAAGTTCCCAGAGTTAGACGCACAGAAGTGCTGCATTTTGTGTGGAACCAACAAACAAAACCTTCAAATGTTTCGTTTTTTTGGCTTGTGTTTATGTATTTTTATGCAGTTTCATTTAACTTCCTGGTGCCAGATCTAATTATTACTGTATAATCATTACTATTTTTGATTGTATTTGCTTATTTTTACTGATTAAAGCCCTTTGAGTCCCTGTATGAACTGTAAATCTGGTTACTTACATGTTTCCACGAGCTCGATGTACAGAAATGCTGCATTTTGTATGAAACCAACAAACAAAACCGTCAAATGTTTCGTTTTTCGGCTTGAGTTTATGTATTTTTATGCAACTTCATGGCATCTCCTGGCACCAGACCGGTTTATTAATGTTTAATCATGACTATTTTTGCATTTTAGCCCCCTGTTTTTACTGATTAGTGCACTTTGAGTTGCTATATGAGCTTTTCTGTCTAAATGTGGTTTCCTTAATGTTCCCTAGACGTTGATGTAAAGAAATGCAGCATTCTGTGTGTGATAAAAGCTTCAAATGTACCTTCTTTGGCTTGAATTTCTGTATTTTTATGGAATTTCATGGTCTTCCCTGGCAGCAGACGTATTTATTAATGTTTTATCATTATTATTTTTGCATTTTTTTAGGGATTAAAGCCCTCTGAGTTGCTGTGTGAGCTTCAAAAACTAAGTTATCATTTTAAGATAAAGAGCAGAACAGCCGACGGCGGACAGAAGCACATGATCATGACTTCATAAAGCGACAACAGTGCTGGTTTCTAGCAGCTTGTGTGACTCTGGACTTCCTCTGTCGAGTATTTTTATCGGCATATTTGCAAAGTTATAAAAAAAGTCGGCAGGATGGAATCAGAAAGTGTAAAGACCACAGCTGGGCTTCGTCGTTCCACAGTTCATCTGCACTCATTACTTTTTCCTTTTAGCAACTCAGACTCTAAAAAATGATCTTGTTGCACAACTGAAGAGGCTGTGAACTGTGAACTTGATTTGTGCAATGTTTCAGTGTTGCTCTTTTATTTTGAAAGGCCTCATAACGCCAGTTTTTTAGGTGCGACAGAAAAAAGGGCCTTATTAGTAGTACTATTATGGGAACCGCATGGGAGTCACCAACTGGACGTTCGCCCGGGAGACCAGGGCTCTTAAGTTTAGAAACCAAAGCTACGGGGTTATTTTTAGGATTTCACTCTTTGGTTGAGAGTTTCAAAACTTTAACTACTTGTTACAAGCTTGGTTAAGTTTAGGCACCAAAATTACTCAGCTAGGTTCAGGAAAATATCACAGTTCTGGTTAAAACACGACATTTTCACTACATTTTTGAAGCTTTTCCTTCATTTCTTTTGAGTTATGGAAGTGACGACCCCCCCGACAGCTAATACATGATTGTTTGGCTGCAAAGGATCATCGGTAAAGCGGCAAAACGATTCTAAAAAGTTCTAAAAATATATTAAATAAAATTAAAAATGCAGATTTTGGGCGACAGAGCTGCTCTTTGTGACGTGTAAACATCTTTTCTGGACTTTATTTCTGCTCACATCTATTGTATGATCGTATGTGAGGATTTTGCTGCAGTAGTGAACAGGAATCCCTTTCATATAACCCACTATAGCTGCACAAAGTTACTTCAGTCGAGCTGCCTATTGTACTTTGCTTCTTTGCTGTTGTCCTGCACACCACCAGTGCAGGAGCCAGCACCTGCAAACATCAGCCTGGGAACTAAAGTGATGTCGCTGGAGAAACTCAGAAAAACTCACAGGAGGTGCATGATTTGGAGACAATAATCTCTGTAGACGGAAACAACATAAGTTTTTATAACTCCTTCATCCACTGATTCTGACGTGGATGATTGATTACTCTGATCATCCAGAGGTCACGTGAGCGCCTTGAGATCATAACGTCGCAGCAGATATCAGTGCAGGCCGGACGAGGATTGTTATGTGACTCTGAAGTTGGCGTTTTTTCATTTTTATGACCTGTGAGACTCTGCTGCAGACGTGACCGGCTGCACACGTGACGTACTGCAGCTTCCAGGACTTACTGATGGTCTGCTGGTCGATGATGAAGCTGCAGACGACGCCCTCGTTGCTGCGTCCGGGGGTGAAGCCGTTCCCTCGGAGGACGATGTCGAAGGACTCTGTGGAATGTAAACAGACTTGAGATAAGACTCGGGGGGGAACGTCTGAGCACTCAGGAGCTCCTGCTTGTGATTTTGTGGAGATTCAAAAGGCAGCGGATAGTTTGAGAGTCTGGCGTCGTGTGATTTTTCCACATATTCCCACTTACCGTTCACGCAGACGCTCGACGGCTCCACGCTCATGATCTCCGTACATGATCGCTTTAATATCTGCAGGAGGGGGGGAAAAAAAATAAGACACGAATTGGACACACCGCCGCTCGAGAATAAATACATCAAATCCCCGAACGTTATCGCCTCTGTCAAGTTTAGAAAACAGATTAGGGTGCAACACCTGAGAAACGTCTCGCGGCTGATCGCGGCCTGGCGGCTAAAAAGGCAAGCGGCGAGGAGAACAGGAGGCAGAACAGCAGCTGTGTCGGCCTTTATGGGAAAATTATGCAAGACTATTACTGTTCCTCGGTTCTATTAAAAACCTCCGGGATCCTGCATTATCATATAAAGAGGCCTTCGCGAGGCGCACTGTCGCCGAGCCGCACTGTCCGCCACCAATCGATAAATCAACAAAGGACAAACTATGCAAATCCCCGTACGCAGTCGGTAAAAAAAAAAAACGGAGCACATTAACTGCGATATATAGGCCGCAGTATATTGAAGCTTTCACCCGGCGTTGGGCGAAACTTCAATCTGAGGAGGCGGAAGACGGAAGTGTTTACAGCGGCCTTATTAAATCTGATGGCTTGATATGGAGTTGTTAAAAGGGGAGAGGGTTGTAGATGACAGCTGGGAGGAAAAAAGGATCTGCTGCTGCTCCTCTGTGCCACTATTTTCCCCGTCTAATTACTTCCTTGGCAGTGCCCGAGAAAAGAAAAAAAAAAAGGAGAATAAAACAAAACTGACTGCTTTAAGCTTAAAACAGGACCTCAGGAGGAGTGACACTGATTTCTCAAAAAAAAAAAAGTGCAAGAAAAAGGGAACAGTTGTGCTCCAACACTGATCAAATCTGCACAACATTCACTCTTAAATTCACACTTTTTTAAAATAAAAGAGGGTAAATTAAGTCATTTGTCGGGGTTAGGAGGTTCTTACAAAACGGGATCTCGGGTGTTTTGGAGATATTAAAATATAAGCTGCGAGCGCCGAGATTAGGAGGCCTCCGCTCGGCTCGGTTCAAACAGCAGCGACTCATTTCTCCGGGATCTGGTGACAAACATTATTTACGGGCTGCACAGGGAAAAAAGGAGGCAGGCGTCCAAATATCCAAAGTCATCCAAATATCTCAGCCAGTGCTGTAACTGCTGGGCTTCTCTGCGAGGATGAGGCTGCTTAGTGGAAATAATGAAGTGGAGCGGGTGGTGAACTTTGTGCTATACGTTATTTAACATCCGAATACAGTAGCTGTGGAGGTTATTAAACTCTGAGGGAAGTTTATGGTAACGATGTGGCTTCAGTGCAATATGGGGTTTTCTTTTTTTTTTCTTTTCTACCCAAAGACAGACAACAAAGGGAGGAATAAATGACCCGACGAGGGTCCGGAAACTTTGCCGAGCTCTTTTCTGTGAGTTTTGTCACGGCGGTCGTGGATCCCGCAGCAGAAAAAGGCTGCACAGATGATCTCAAATCCTCAAAAATCCGACAGCAGAGCGAGGAGGCCAACTAGTCAGGAATCCAGTATTACTAATCAGAGAGGAATGCTCAGCGTTTCATTTGGATGCTGGAAGCGTCGCTGCGCTCTGAGGCGGCCGGGCCGAAGGGATGAGCTGCTTTTTTTTTTTTTTTTTTTTAGTGTTGCTGTCGTCACAAAACAACACAATCTTTAAAAGAGAAATCACGCAAAAACAAAAACGACTAATGAGAAGATTAGAAGCATATTTTCCTCTAAATGTGACAAATCGAAAGCTCTAATCATATTTTAATGCAAATTCTAATGAGCTTCTTGTGTCATTTTTGTGTGTTTTTCAGGATTTTCCACGGTTACTCATACTCAACAATGATTCAACAACTATTGCACCTGTTTTGAATAAATTGTGGCTGCATTTTTAATCGCCTATTCTGAAGCGAACACATGCAACGTGCACAAAAACCGACTCAGTTTGGAGCAGCGGAGATGATATCGGGGGGTCAGAATTAAAAAGAAAATCTGTCGTGCGTGAATATTAAAATGCATTTGGCACCAGAGAGCTCCGTTGTCTCGTTTAGGACAAAGACTTAAAGCAGGAGAGTCGCTTTCGGAGGCTTCTTTGCGTGACAGCGTTTCAGAAAAGCAGCAGCGCCATCGATCATAGTTTGCATCACACAACAGAAACAAGTCACACCCTTTGGCTCGGCGTCGCTTCCAGCTGCATGTCTGACAGCTCCGCTAGTTTCTTGCTCTTTTTTTCCCAAACACTGCTGGCCTTGTCGGCTCTGACACAGATGTAAGTCCAGCTCAGGTCAGCGGAGCTCTGCGGGGCTCCGGGCTCACATTCATGTAAAAAAAACAAAAAAAACGCTGCCACACAAACCCCCGCTTTGGCTGACTGCAAATGGAAAGTATCACTAATTGGCTGGCAGAGGACGAGAAGGCTGCATGGGAAACTTCATAAACACTGTTTAAGGGACTCCTACTCCCTGACAGACATCCACTGATTACAGTTTTGCTCTGAGAAGATGTGTTTCGTTTTTTAACTCTAAAAGAACCGACCCGCTGCTGGATTTTGACGCTTGCCGCAATAAAAAACGGCGTTAAGACGGTGTCATGTGGACAGTGACTACTTGTAAAGCTGCTCCCATCCCAGCGAGCGGCGAAGACATTCCCTCCTCTGTCTACTAAACCGAGGACACAATGAGCACTTATTTCCACAGACGCTTTCCATGCAGCTCTGCAGGAAGTTCACCGAGGTTTTGCTCTAATTTGCGACAAACTTCGACAAGTTTACTCCTCCCCCACCTTTAATCTGCAGCACCCCGAATCATGTAGGAGAAAACCTATAAAATTTGACTTTTTCTTCTTTTTTTTTTTTCCTGCAAAAGTGGACGAGCAGAGCTGCAACAAAGAATCAGAGCAAACTTACAGAATTGACGATGCCTTTGAGAGCGTGGAAGCCATCTTTGACAGGAAACACATGGTCCTTGGTGTCGGCGATATCGGCAAGCTGTCGGAATCAATGGAAGAGTGGAGTAAACAAGGAGTAGTGCTGATTTAACGCCGCTTTCTGCTTTTTCTGTCCTCCTCTTTATGACTGAGCACTGTCTTTCCTTTCATATCACGGGCAGGAGGAGACGTAGCAGATGGCATGACTGTGGCAAACACTTTGCTCAACTATAAAAAAAAAAAAAAAAAAAATTATCACTGCAGCACAAACTGGGAGCAATATTGCCTTTGTTTTTGACTTAATAAGAGCTCGTCGCGGGATGGTTACCATTGGTTACAAGGGACAGGCCACCATGTTGGAGGAGAGACAGTGAAACTACAGACGTCGCTGACATGAAGAGAGAAAAAGAAAATGTGACTTTGGTGCAGCTCAGACGTTCCTGTATGAAACGAGCTCAAACTGCAGTGAAATTATATCTTCTGGAGACACATAATAAACACAATAAAGTTAAATTGAAACCTAAATATTGCTTGTATGCCAGCTTCTACATACACAAAGTAAGCTTAGGAACATCCAACCAAGAAAGTCCACTTTTACACCCAAGCACTGTGATTTTTATTTTTTTTTTTTAAATCAAAAAACTGGTAAAGAATTGACTGTTTGAAGCCATAGTTACACTTTAATGCTCACTTGCTTGACTTTCTAAACGCAAAACTATCTTTTTGAAACACGAGTTGATGCACAGAGCTGGTGTAGAACAAATCAAACAGCATCAGAGAATTCATTGCTGATACTTAAAGCGCTGCTACATAAAAAAAAAACTACACTTTTTTTGTTCTGCTTCTGTAATAACTGCGTGTTTTTTGGGTAAATTGCACCTATTGTCCCTGCAGGAACTTACACATCCTCTGTAGAGCCTCTTTTAGGGCTATTTTTTGTTGAGAAAAAAGCATTTAACTTCAGAGTAAGTGCCTCCGAGTGACCCCGATTAACTAGAAGAAGACAACAAGCAGCATTTTCATCCAGGAGCAATCCCTTTCTGTCTGAAATCACCATCAACAAGGTAAAATCGGCCACACAGGTCAACATAACAAACCCTACTTTGCTCTATTTCCTACAGAGAACTGGAAGTACGTCCAATAGCTGACATTTGTCGTAGTTTTGTCGCTCTTGGGAGTTAAGGTTGGGGTCAAAGCTGCTGGATTCAACACCGCAATGGAAACAAAAAGGCTGAGGTGTCCGACCACGAAACTGTTTCTATAAATCATCTCTTGCCTGGCCTAACTGTCTCTCAGTCTAATTGCTATTCTTGCAATGGAACTGACTCTAGTTGATGCAACTTTATGTTTTTGTTTAGATTTAGTTTACATTTTCTATCATAAGCTCGGCGTAAATTACATTTTTATAACGGCTTCTAATCAAAGAACGCTCCAGTAGCCAAAAATTCCAAAAAAGGCCATGATACCAATAATTAAATTCACCCAGGACCCTTTGCTGCACCTCATACAGTCTTTGTCTCTTCTTTTATTTAAAAAAAAAAATCAGGTACATTCGCGATACGATACCATCTGTGACGATAAAAGTTCACAGTTTTATTTTTAAAATGTTGGATAAAAATAAAACGGCACGCTTCACATGTAAGCTGAAGCAGCTTTGCCCGGATGGTGCATTTGAAAAACAGTGCATTTTACATCTGCACCTGCAAGAGGAGGCCTAATGATCATATATTCCACTACAGGAGAGACTCGATGCTCTCTGTAATGAGGTGGAAAAAGTACATGCATACATCGGTAATCAGCCAAAATGAGATCAAAAATATATTGTCGTTTTGGATATCGGCATGAATCCAAACATGGTGCATCTTTAAGAAAAATAAAAACATCTGCTAATGAGTGTAGAAAATGAGAAACCAGAAACAAAAACTTTCCTGGAAGCTTCAGAAATCCACTGGATGCACATAATTTCACCCTATTCTGGCAAAACGGCGACTGTGTGCTGAACATGTGGCTCATCGACTGATTTCAGAGGCTTTGTTGCTGCCATAAGAATTTGTCACTATATAAATCCAGAGCAACTGAATTCAAGCCTCTGATCTCCGTCATGGAGGAAAATATTAACTTTTTCCAGCCGCTGTTCAGGCCTCCGTGAAGTGAGAGTTAGACTCCCTTTACGTGGCTCCTCCACGCCGGTGCTGTTCACCTTTCTGGACACTCTTCCTTAAACAGATTAAGCTCTCCTACCTGCTGCTCATCGAAGTCCTTGATTCCCACACAGTAAACGCGGGCGCCGTACTTCCTCGCCTCGTCGGCCTGCAACGGCGTAAAGCAGAGAGAAAAATGAAACACAATTCGAGCAGCACTTTGTGGATAAAGGAGGGCGAACGATGTTGTCACCTGCTTTACGGTGAGCTCGTGGACGTAAACCGCCAGCTTCCCGTCCGTCAGTCCCAGGATGATGCTCGCCGACTTGATCGACTGCTTCTGTATCTGAGCTGTGGCCTTCAGGTGCAGACAGACGACATTTTCGTCTCAATCTCACAGTGATTGCACAAAGTAAAATGTTAAATTATGTAACCGAGAAGCCTACTGACCTCCTTGAGTCCTTCGTGCATGTATGTTTCACCCGCTGGAACCACGGCCTTCAGCCGCTGCAGGCCTTCTTCGATCTCGTTTCTTAAAACACACGTTAATCAAACAGTTGAGAATTTTCCAGCTCCAGCTAAACATCGTGCACCAAAAGCAGGTTGCAAACACTGACGCTGATGACGAACAGTGCGGTTGCTGTGCAGCGGCTCTGTGATGTGGTGCAAATCTGTGGTCACGGCTGTTTAAAGAACAAGCTGTTTATCTCGGGTTCATCCAGAGTCTTTTTTGCGGCCTCTGGAGCCCCAGAGGGAACTGAACCTCTAACCTCAACTTCATGTCATCATGCAAACATGACGCAAGACACAGAGTTCATCGTCAAGCCAAGAGAACTGAAGGTTTTGCTGCTGAAGCAGAAGCAGAAGTGCACTGGGAGAAGGTGGCCCTCCACGAAAGCAAATGTAAACACAGATATCCTGATCCAAACTGAAACTTAATGGTAGTTTTTGCATAATTTGCTGGCAGACAAACACATAAAGTGGCTCTAAAGACACAGCAGCTGTGGAAACATTGTTCATTTGATATGTGAGATGTTTAGATTTAGATTTTATCACACAACACAGCTTTTTATCCAATTTGTCCTGTGTTTATGTATATTTTTGTGTGTTCAAAACTAAATTAGTCAAGTTAATCTCCATAATTATGAATGCTGTGTGGTCACAGCCTTAATATTGTTGTCAGTAAGTTAAGTTCTGTACTTTATAATACTGTAGGGTCTTAGCTATATGCATTTTAGAAAGGTAAAGTAGTGTTTTATAGTTTTTGTAGGGTTTTAATCCCTAATGTGTAAATTACTTAAGTCAAATCGCACCATAAATAAGGTCTTAACCCAAATATTTACACTTGTTGGGTCACGTTTGTACCATTTTTTTGTATAAAAAAAAAACAGTGACTTGACTTAACGCTTACATTTTACTTATAATTCTTTTAATTCTGGTTGAATTTATTGTTATTATTTGTACATTTCAATGATGGTTCACGTATTTAGAATGAATGAATGAAAGCAAACTCCTCACTGATCGGCTGCCGTTCTAATATTTGACAGTTTAGCAGATTTTTTAAACAGTGAACTACTTTTGTGCACCCTGATGATGGTTCCAGAAACAAGCAAACTGAGTGTGAGAGACAAAGAAATGCCAACGTACCAAAATGAGATTAAAAAAAGAAAAATGAGCCCAACAGGCCTGAAACATGTCGCTCAGCGTTTTTCTTCCAGGCTGTGCTTTAATAAATATCAGTAAAGTTTAAGCACATCCAGAGGTCGGCGTCTTTAATGTGCAGCGAGCTTGTTTTCTTTTTGTCGTCAGCTCTTCTTGTGCAAACTCTGAACTTCAGCTATCGAGTTAATGAAAGAAACACTTTTGGGTTAAAATGCTAAATCAGCAAGTCTTTTCAAGAAGTCTTCTATTCACCAGACAAATAAGCAACAGGAGGAGGCAACATGGGGGAAATTTGATCTGGTTTTGTCCTGTGAAGCTGCTAATCTGGCAAATATATGGCAAAGTCAGTTACTTTATCTCAATGATGCAAAAAATCATGAAGAAATCAAATCAAAACACTATCATGGACTACAGCCAACATCATGAGGAAATTGATCACACATATATCAGTTTCAATACAATAAATATGATCACAGTGGGTTTTCATTGTCACGGCAGTAAATGGGGATCAACGTTTAAGAAATATCAGTAGAAAAATAAACCAAAACTATACACAAAGACTCGTACCGTCTGGGTATACGATGTCCGTTGGGCACCTGACACCTCAGTTTTACAGAAAATAATTCAAAAACGGATGCTTGAGTTGATCAGAAATCACCACAGAGCTTTCTCAGTCTTGTCTGCAGCACATGTAGCAGAGATGGTGGTGCAGAGTCAAGTGGTGTCAATGCAGAAAGATGCTAACTGGTTTGAAGAATATGCAGCGATACATTGATATTAGCATGTCTGAAACTCCAGGACCAATGACGCTCTATTGTTGATTACATGACTGAACAAAGCTACAGACATCACAGGATGTTGGGGTGCAACGTTGCACACATTCGTGTAAGAAATTTTTAAAATGGGAGCTTCGATTCGGCAGCACCTGCAGAACTTTTTAGCATCGTTAGCAGCTTTAGCTAATAAGCACATGTTAGTTTGGTCCGTTTGCACAACACAGCTTCATACTAGTGGACCAAGTTGAAGCCTGAAGACCTTCGCCATCATTAAAGTGAGCTTCATTTAGCAAAATTAAACTACATCCAGTCAAATGGAGGCGCTGACTCTTCTACGCTTCGACTAAACCACCTGTTTTTTGCAGACTTTCGTTAAATTCTGGCTAAACTTTGTGCAACAGCGATCAGGTCTGTGGCTGATTGTAACCTGCTCGCTCATTTGAGAAGGTAAACATGGACATCAGTGGTGCAAGACAGAGAGCGAGCTCAGTGCAAAACCTCAAGCAGCATCTTGTTGACAGTTTTTTATGTGAGAGAAGATTTCTGGTGTGAAGCTGAACAGCTAAAGCACAGCAGACTTTCCAAATGCTGCAAAATGCTTTCATACATTTTTAACTCAGCTGGTTGCAGAAGTATTGACTGACTGTTTTAAGGAAAGACGCAGACATAATTTGCAAAGTAGACCAGCATTATATTGTTGTGCGTTTCTTGTTTTTCTGCAACAAAAACATGCCGAACCATGACCTCAGATAGAACGTATGCTTTTAGGATTGGCGCTCACTGTTTGAACATTTGATTGTTGTTGATTTCACCACGAATCAAGTTTGTTGCACAAAACCTAAAAGTGTTGTGAGTCTGGAGTGAGTTTAGTACCTGTCTCCGGTCAGAGGCAGCAGAACTTGTGCTCGGGCCGAGAAAACGATGAACGAGACCCTCATCCTGGGGCTGGAGAGGAAAAGACAAAAAGTCACAAGGGATTCGCTGGAAAAGAGGAAACAGAAACGCTCCATTTCTCCATTAAATCATCACTTCATCCTCTTTATCAAACATCCTCCCACACAGTCGGTGGAAAACTCAAAATAGCCGGCGTGACTGACAGTTTTCTATAAAGCTCTTCCAAGAGTTCAGCTGAGTTACAGAAAAAATTAAAGCCGCATAAATAATGAATCAAGCAGAAGGGGCTCGCTTAATGTCAACTAATATTAGTGTATGACTTGAAGCAGCTTCTGTGGGACCGAGGAAGTGATTAATCAGACGGGAAACATGTTGTGGCGATGAGTCACGCGTAAACACACACACATCCTGCAGCGCAAATACTGTATATATACTTTGTACCTGTGACTTTTTAAGGGTGTCAGCTGGACGCTCCGGCGCGTCTCGGACCGCCGAGTCTGGCTCCAGTTCAGTCTATATCCAGCATCCCTCTGCTGCTGCTCCCTATACTGATCCGACGGATTCTCTTTTTTAACAAACACAGCTGTTTTCGGAGTAAATATCCACCTTACATTTGCAAAAAGTAACCAGTTCGGAGGTGAGGACAGTGAACGGCTCGCTAAATGTATGTGAAAACTTCACCACCATCTGTTGACAATTATGCAATTAGTGAATGCATGTAAAGGCAGGAATATGTTACCTAAAACTGGAGACAATTTAATAATTTAGCTGGATACGCGGCTTCAAAGTGTAAAAAGTGATAAAAATCTACAAACTGACAGGTTACTGATAGGTTATGTTTCTACTTGCAACTATTTTGAGCTTTTTGAGTGTAACGGTGGACATCTTTCTGATATTAGTGCCTACATATTACTTCATCAACCCTTTATTTTAATCAAAACTCATTTTATTTTTACAAATTTAACCTTTTTTGACAATTAAATTCTCAAATATGCGTCTTTACTCTTGTGTCGTTATAACAATAAGCTAACAAAACAAAATAACTTAGCATCTAGCATAAAGTGCCAGTTTTCAGCACATAATATAATGACTGGTCATTATGAAAGAAAATCTGCTGCAACTAAGAGGCAAAATATTAATAAAAGTGCACCCAAAACACCTCATCTGCTGAACATCTGCTCCTATAATATACAGATGTTCCATAAACGCCTCACATGCAGGCTACAGTAGCTAGCTAGTTAGCTCCACAGAGAAACGTCCATTGTTAATCTATTTTCATTCACGTCTCCTCTGAAATTTCCCAGAATTTTTCTTGCTTTATTGTTGGTCTCAGCTGAGTCACTGATGACTTCACGGTTGTGTCGAGTAGCACAGAACTATTTGGTTTTTCTATGGAATCTTGTCAGACCAACTGACTGATTGGTGAATTTCCAAACAACACATGTAGAATAAAGATATTTTAACAAAATATCATGATTCTAAGCTCAGAGCGGGTTCATTTTCCCACCAGAGCTGAACTTTACACACGATTTATCATAATTTCTGTTCATACTGAACCATACTATGCACAGCAGGACTGCATATCGTGCACTTTACTAATGCTGTTGCGTTGCTGCTTAGATTCTATACCACATTGTGTTGTCGCAGACCCCTATGCAATGACAACGAAGCTGAATCTAATCCAGTGATCCAGTTTTGAATTTTGTTGTTTGTTTTTCTTACAGATTCTTGTTGGAGCAAATGGTTTATTGGAGAATTTTTCAACAAAATATGTAGAATAAAGAGATTTTGATGAAATATCACGATTTCAAGCTTGGATTTGGATAGTTTTTGTGACAAACCAGCAGGTCACGTGACTGTCAAAACTGTAAGAAAGCTGAAAAACCCACAATTCTTTCTATTTTCACAACTTCTGGCTCTGATAAACGGCAAATTATGGCAATTTTTTTCAATTTTGTTGTGTGTTTTTTTTTTTTTAAGATTCTTGTTGGAGCAAATGGTTTATTGGAGAATTTTCAAACAAAAATATGTAGAATAAAGAGATTTTGACAAAATATCACGATTTGGTTCATTTTTGCGACAAACCAGCATGTCACATCATTGTCAAAACTACTTTTTACAGCTTCTGGCTCTGATAAGTGCTCTAATTTTTTATTTTTTTTTTTTAAATAACAGGGATTCGAAACCTGCCGGTGAGTTTTGAGGTTTAATGATGCTGATTTTATCAAATGGATTCGATGTAAAAAGAGGCAAACGAGCTGAGAAGTGACGGGAAATTGTGGCCTCACGTTACTTTTCACAATAAAGATGGATTTTAAGCAGCTCTACACAACGTGAGAGCTGGAATGTGAGCTCATGCAACCTTATGTAAACACTGAGACGCTACAGGAACCGTTGGAGTAGAAAAAAAGCACAGAGTGGAGGAACGATGGCGGTAAATGTACTCGGCTACGTCGGGCCGCTGCCACAGACACAATGCACACGGATGACATCCCGCAGAGCAGCTAAACTTCGGATAATTAAGCACATAAGTGTTTCCTTCAGAGATCCGAAGCCTTCGGAGCATAAGGAGAGGTGCTGATATTTCTCACCCACATGACACATGGCCCAGTCGCGATCCTCCCCCGCAAACATAGCGCAATCTTTAAAGCCACACGGCCAGATCTGGCGTTTACATCCTGTCTGCAAGTTTTCTGCAGTCATATGTGCACTAAAAACTAACCGAAGTCAGGGAGGGGGGACGCGTGGGCGGCGGTGAACTTTAGGTTTTCTGTGCGTTACCTCGACGGCAGCGCGGCGAATATTTTCTGTTTCATGAGAAAGACTTGGGATAAAGAGGCACCGGTGCCAAGGACAAATCAGAGGGTGGTGGTGGGATTTTTCCTCGTCGAGAAGGAGCGGTGGAGGGTGGTGGGGGGGCGATGAAGCGGTCCAGTTTGCTCCACATGGCGGAACAGAAGTGCTCTTGGTGAGCGAGCATTGTTTAGCAGATTGTCCTCGTCGCCTTCCAGTGTTCTTTTGCTTTACTGTACATTGTCTGCCTGTCAGCTCGCTGGTGGTGGAAGCAGGGGAAAAGTGTGGCGCCGGACCCCCCCGGTGCAAATGGCCATTCTCACAGCCCAGAAGACTGCTCCTCTCTGCCACCCACTCCCACCTGGTGCCTTTGCTATTTTCTTCAACCAACCACTTCGTTCTGGCTGGGTCGCTACCGTCTGTACTGTGCTGGCAGCCGCCGTTTGACTCAAACGTTATGCAAGCTGAACGTTCAGAGACGCTTCTCCGCCGTTTTTTTTTGTCTTTTTTTTTTTTTTTTTTTTAATGAGTTGTGAGCAAAGAGGATGTGGAGGATTTTGTAGTTTGTGAAACAGGTGGGAAGTCGTTTAAATCTGTGCCGCAAATAACGACGCGGCTTCTCGAATTATAGACGTTTAGGCCATAAAACTGCTGACGACAAACAGATGCAAAATAAACTTCCTCTTTCCGCTGTCAGAGTTTGAACTTTTTGTTTTTACAGTTTAAAGTTTAATTTTTTGAACAGTTTAATTGTTATGTTACAGATTTTTCCTGCTTTGTTAAATTACACAAAATAACTAAAAAAAAAAAATGCACCCTTTAAAAAAAATTACAAAATACGAAAAATCTATATGTTCAGTCGTAGTTGTACTTTTTTCCCTCCAATGTTTGGCTATAAGATGAATCTATTTTATGTATTTAAATCAGCAACAACAACAAAAAAATATTATTTTACAGATATTTCCTGTTATTTGAAAAAAAAAAGGTGCTGTACATTAAATATTGAAATAATATCAAATCATTTTTAGTAAAAGAAAATGAAAATAAAAAACTGAGTAAAAATTACAGAAAAAATATTTAAAATATTAATTAATGAATACATTAAAAAACAGTCCAAAAATCTGTATTTGTACAAATTCATGTTTTTGTTTTTTTTTCACAATTAGTTTTTTTTTTAATTTAAATTTGTAAAAAATTTAAACACTTTTTTTTTCTTTAGGTGTTTGTGGTTATTTGAAAGGAAACTAATGTACATAAAAAAATTGCAAATATTATTTAACTGTTCTACAGTCTCCCTGTTCTGCTAACTTATACATAACATCTATTAAAATCACAGAAATAAAATGCATTAACTTGTATGTTGACTGCAAAAAAACCAAACAAAAGGGGCCAAAACTTAAATTACCTCCACAAACAAGATTTGCATTTTTACAAATAGTATTTTGTTCTTTTGCAGCTTTTTACTGTTTTCAAATCAGCTACAAATGCATTCATTTACAGATATTTTTCCAGTTTTTGCAGGTTTTAGATATTACAGTGTTCCACCCTTTCTACAGATTCAGTTTTACAGTGTGGTGAATAAATTACTTGGATGTTCATTCCCGTATTTGTTGCACACTTTTGTGCTTTTATTGATTTATCGTACGCATAATTCAACAAATCCACGTCGCTGTTAACATTAAATCACTGCAAAGTCTCGACTCGTGCAGCATCTGCAGGTCTGAGCTCACAGACTCTTCTTTTTTCCATACATGAAAACCCCAGAAACGTATGTTACTCTTTAAAATGTACACAGAAAACACACGACTTCATACTCGCCTCACAAACCGGTCGGTCAGATTCTTCACAAAGGAGTAAATCTCGAACCAGTCGGTGGCGACGCTTCCAGACCTGCAAGGAGAAAACAACAGTCAGTTAACAGCTCATCGGCGGCAGCAGATTGTGTGCTGGGGAGTAAAATACTGTACAGTATTTGTGCTTTGTAGCACAACCACAGTTGGACATTAACACCAGCCACATGCTGGATAATTGTGCTGGTAAGTCTGTGTGTTATAGCAGCAACCTCAGCTGTTAGAGCCTCCAATGTTCACAGGAGGCTTCTGCAAATGTAGTCGCCTGAAGCATTTATCCTATTTACACGCTGGAGCTATAAAGCGGCCTGTAGGTACACATCGTTGTCTGACCCGGACGAGCGCGACAAGAAGACATAAAAGACCTTGGTTAAGAGAAAGATAGCAGAAGGTGTGAGCGCTCTGCCTTTTGTCTCATTAAAACTAATCAGGACTCCGTAATCGCTGAAAACGAAGCATAAATTTTGCCACTTGGACCAAGGACGAGCCAATGTTGGGTGGGTGTCAACCTGTAGCCCTTGGCCTGCGCTCACCCCTCGATAAGTCAGCCTGCGAAGGCGGCGTGTAAAATGTGCCCTTGATCTAACGACGAAGAGGTAATTAAACCAATAATTACAATTCTATGTATGCGCGGGGAACATAAAACAGAAGAGTTTGACCATTAGGAGGCTCATCTTTCATGCCACCTCGTCTCTCCTCCCCGCTGCCCGGAGACAAGGTCACAGCGCCGACCAAGTTCCGCTGCACTCCGACAACACCGGAGCACTGGCTAGCAATTAGCGGCAGCTAATTGTGCTTAAGTGGCAGTTAAAGGGGTTAAAAGTTGCGTCTCTACAGAGTCCCCGTGTGAATATTTGCAGGTTTAACGTGATGGTTTGGTTTGTTATTGTTCAGAAAACAGCTACAAGCCATCATCTGGTTTAACAACGCTTTAATGGGAACTTTAAAAGATTATTTGCATCAATCTTTTTCTTTGAACGTATTACTTTATAATTAACCAAACGTGATCACCTCTTAGACTGTTCGTTGATACTGAGGCCTGTAATTGAATCCCCTGCACCGGTCTCTGCAGGTTCTGAGAACATTTTTCTTCACTGTGAGCTAATTTTTCACTGCTATATAAAGTCCTGCACTGTTCTGGAAACACAACAACCATGGTTCTAAGTAGAGGGAACTCAGAAATGTCTTCAGTGCAGAATAACACACTTAGAATCCTATAAATCTTATAAAAATGAATGAAAAGTTGAATTTCTTTGATTATTCCTTTTACAAAAATTGAAAGTAACCTGGACCCAGCATGTGCACCAGTCTTCCAAGTGTCCACAGGTGTTACCGATCCTGGACAAAACAGTGGCTCCACATGTTATGGATATTTTATTAGCTCCCTATGAACAACCTCTACAGCACTCTGCATGTTTTGGCTCCACTCTGCACATCAACTCCAGACGTGTTTCAACAACTTGCTCCTCTGTTCACCGTTTCTGGGCCGTGCTGCTTTTATTTTACTGATCAAATGTGTTTAATTTTGCTCACAACATCTCTAATTTATTTGCATACTGATCTCCTAACAGCTCTCCTGCAGTTCAACCGAAAAGCCCCTGAGTTTGGATCACATGCACACACACTGCAGCCACATTTCTGAATTGTCTGTGTCAAATAATCCGATTAGGATAGAATATTATGATTTTAAACTTAGTTCATTCAACGTCACACACGATTAGTTTGAGGTCTGTCAGGAAGCAAAAAATCTCACGATTATTTCTGTTTTTACAGATTCTGGTTCTAATAAATGGTGTAATTATTGCTCGTTTTTGAAAAGATTGCATGTCTTGGGAGTTCACAGGATTACAACCAGGTACCTCGAGGTGTTTATTCGCAATATTGCAAACTTTATTCACTGATTTTCAAAAAAAAATTAAATACTACAGTGGTATTAAACAACATATACAGAAATAGAGACTGTTACAGTGATCAGCAGGCTGAATAACGGTGTGAAAAGAGAAAAAGCAGTGCTGAGGTGCCCTTTAGCAAGTCAGTCAGACCCGACTGCAGCATGGTGACCTGCACACCAAACTAAAGCAGCACTGGTCATCTCCCAGGTTGAATGTTTGCAACCGGGCGACTGTGACTCAGGTGGTAGAGCGGTTTTCCTCGGATCACAAGGTTGAATCCCCCACCACTCCACAGCCGAAGTGTCCTTGGGAAGGACATTGACGTTCCTCCCAGTGCCAGGCAGCACCTTGCATGGCAGCTCTGTCACCACTGGTGTATGAATGTATGTGTGTGAATGGGTGAATGAGAAACATTGTAAAGCGCTTTGATTGCCACTAAGGTAGAAAAGCACTATATAGGTGCAGTCCATTTCCCATTTACTGTGTGTGTTTGTAAAACAGAACTCTCAGCAGAAGTTTTATGTCATGAGCTGTTTCTTTGGAAAGAGGAACGCAGCAGAAACTTCTATAAACACTGAAACATCATCACCCAGCAGGCGTTTCTTCTGATTGCAGCAGCAGCAAACTGCTGACATTAAGTTTTTAGTCTTATCGGTTCCATCGGGACATCCTAAAGTGGAGCGATTTAATCGGCAGGAACAAAGCAAACTTCCAACCGACAGAACAAGCGTCACAGACTAGACCTTTAAAACCTCACATGTATAAAACTGGCACCGACCAGAACACCCAACGTGCAAAAGTGTACGAAACTGCAGGCCAAACTAGGAAAAAAATAAAAATAAAAACTCTCTGTGCTTCTTGGTCAAACTAGTGCCAATAATCTTGGTCATCATCCTGTAATTTAGTCATTTGGACGAAGGGCGGGGTGCTTTGAAAATGGGTCAGGGGAGCAGTGTTTTTAACTCGGCGGTCCTGAGCGGTGGCGAGCTTCCAGGCCGGGGGAGGACACGATTAAAAACAGTTGCTGTCAAGGCCGTAAACTCTCCGTAATGCATCAGAGGTCTTTGTGCATGACGCTGCTGCTCACTTTTCTGCTGAACCGACTGAATGTGGCTGCAGAGCTTCTGCATGTCTGAAGTCTGAAGCAGCACTTTGAGCACGTAAGAGACAAAACAAGTGGAGCAAAGTCTGGACACAACACCCAGAGTCCTGTCAGGGCACTCTGAGGTTTATGTGATCATATGCAGGAAAAACTCTGGGGTGGTGCAACACTGTCGACCTTCTAGTGGTTTTAATTTAACTTTTAAACATTTAAGGACTGAGAGAACTTGCTTCACTGTCAAACAATGTAATGATGCAACACCATCCCTCCCCAACACTGGCAGCAGGCCTCATGTCAGAAGCAACGTTGGACCTCCATGTAACCACCTACGCTGCTTGAAACAGCATTTCTGAGGTTTGGTTAACCTTTGGCGGGCGAAACTACTTGACTGGGGTTAAGCAAAGACGATGAGGTTTCTTAGAGTTCCCTCTTCCTCTCCTGCAACCGCCGAGCATCACGTTACTGCACAACCAGCCAGAGGCAGGCCTCAGATATCAGCCAAATGTGAGTAATCACAACTGAGTCTCAGTCCGTCCAGGTTGCACCAAACCATGCGTATGCTCGTGCCAGAGGGATTTTTTCCTCCATTGTTTTGACATAACAAAAGAAAACTGCAACCAAACTTCAGAATGCTTTTTTTTTTTTCTTTTTCACAGCTTTTCTCAGTTGCTGGCGAAGCATCCTGGTGAGCGTCGTGTCTGTTTTTATTTAACCAAAGCTGCTGCAGCTGCAGACTGAGTTAAAAGTCCTGCTCTTCATGCTGAAAAACTAAATGAAGTGAAACTAATGGTTGCTTAGTTATTCAGGAAACTAACACACTGCAGTGTAACCGCTGCAGAAATGAGGTGAATTTCCTATATTACTTTCTGTTATGCAGTTTAAGCTGTTGTGTCTCTTTACCTTAAATAACATTAATCACAATCACACAGAACGCTGCTGGTTTGCATCTGTGTCCTTTAGATTGTGCAAATTTGTTTAACCAAACATTGCAAACAGCAGTAAAGTGTGCGGCAGCTTGTGGTAAATGGGCGAAACATGTCAGTGTTGTGACTTTAGTTGGAAGTCCTGCCTTGCACATGGGCACCTCAGCATCCAGTCTGAAGGAAAGAGGTGTCACACTGGACATGTGGCCCTCTAAATTCTGTGAAGCTGAGACCAGACCAGAGGTGAGGCATCGCTGCTCACACTGGTGCACTAAATAGCACATATCTGAACTTTAACTGTCACTGTTGAACATCTCAATCTTAAGCAAAGAGCATGAATGAGCTGCTATGACGGCCTCTGCTTGCTCCCATTCAGCCACAGCAGCATTAATGAACACTGAGCTGTTCTCATATACAGGAAGCTGCAGGTGCTTTAGTGCAACCTGAACCTTTGTGCATGCTCTGGTTGCAAGAACTGTGCTGTAGAATCTTTTTCAGGGTTGTTTTTTTCAGGGGAAAAGGAAGCAATACATCAGAGTAGGCCCGAAAAGACTGCTGTACAGGCCTTGATGCCGATTGGTAGAACACAGAGACGACAACACTGATTGGTTGCACTGGCTAAAGAGAAATAAATACGAAGCAAAATGGACTAACGAGGATCGTCAAGTCATCGTGAATAAAATTTGTCGACCCACCTGGAACACCTTGTCATAGACTGACTTGCAAAGCTTTGGCGATAAAAACTAACAAAATAAAAGCTGGATTACAAACATTGGAAGGACCACAGATAAGAAAATGAATGCTCAGGTCATCCCAGAGGTGTTCATGAGGTTGAGATCAGTTCTCTGAGCTGGCCAGTCAAGCTCCACACCAAAACTGATGATGTCTGGGGCTGAAAATAATCTGTATTTTACATTGTTGCTTAATCTGTTTTCTCTGGTAATCAGTCCGTTGTTTGGTCTAAAGACTGACTTAGAGGATGTAGGATTCTAGTCTAAGCCTGCCACTGACCGCTATCGTCAGCCGGCTGTCAAAATACCATTCATTACGGAAAAACAACAACCTGCCAGGAGTGAGTTATATGCTGAAAATGTCAAGTTTTGCCAAAGATTTGAATCTGAAGCTGATCCTACTTGCTTGTTTTGGTAAAAATGATCCATTTTAATGACAGCACTGCCTTCCTGCATGCAAATATTCCACCAAAACAATTCCCTTAATGCTATTTGGGGACACCATCACTACATCCTGGGCTTAGCACTTCTCAAGATTGTTGCGATTGGTTTAAAGTAATGCAAACAAGCCAGAACATTTCTTTCCTCCCTATAGCAGAACGAAAATGAGGTGCAGTCCGACCTGTCTACAGAGATGTGGAGGTAGATCTTGCTATGTGAGGTAAATAAAATGCCAAAAAATGGTGAAAAATGTAGATCAGTGTCCAAGATGACGTCCTCAAATGTCTACAACCTCAAGATATTCAGTTTATTATCACAGAAGAGGCACAAAACCAGAAATTATTGACATTTAAGAAGCTGCAATTTAGGCCTTTTCTCTTTGAAAGTCCCTCAAACGGTTGATCCAAATCATTAGCAATTAGTTTAACAGTTGGTAACTAATTGATTAAAGCTGACTTTTGCCAGCGATGTCCTAAATACGGGCGCATCCTGCAGCAGCACCGTCCACATGGCTGCCAGATGCGCACGACAGCGTCCACGTACTTTTGGACACCTTTCGGTTACCTAATCTAGAAATTTGCGGAAAAAAACCGCACAATATGTTACACAAACGGATGCAGTGGCAACATCTGGAATCCCTAATCAGGTCACAGAGAGCGGTGTCACCCACCCAGCCTCCCCCATCTCACCCCTGGGTGACACAGATCCTCCTCTGCGCTGAGACGCAACAAGTTAGAACCTAAATAAGCGCATTTTTACGCGTTTTGTGAGAAGCGGAGTTGCCATTTTACGCTTCAGCAGCCTGAAAGGGAAGTTAAACCAAGTTGTTCCTCGTACTCACTTGTCTAGAACAAAGTAGAGGTCGTAGGCTCCGTGACAGGAGGCTTCTTCTGCCCAGCAAGACGAAGCAAACAAGCCCAGCAGAAGCACAGCCACCGCGGCTGAAGTCCAGCGGCCGCTCCGGGGAGGAACTTTCTCCTCCGCTGGGAAACAACGTGACAACTTCTCCAACATTTTCATCCTCCAAAAAATAAAGTAAAATCAGTAGATCAGGTCTGTTTAGGAAATAAGGATGAACTATGTTTGACAAAGGCAGCTGGATGAGCAGCTACATGTCAAACAAACTCCTCCAAAATAAAAGCGAGTCGAGTCGTTGGAGCTGCAAAATAAAGGAAATCACCGCGTCACGGCCGTTTCTACATCTTCCTGACTCACTGCTCGCTCATTCACATCCTCAATAAAGAGAACAACAACGTCAACCGGCCCAGGAGTCACTCCGAGATCCACCAAATCACAGCAAACAAGCAAAACTTCACCGAGCAGAGGAAAAAAGTGTTGAGGGGCGTTCACGGTCCTCCTGCACGGCTCGGAACTCCCCACAGGAAAGTTACCACAGTCATAAGGCCTGACATCTGATGGGTTGTCTTTAGTTTCGTGATAGAGGACTTAAAAGTTGGTGAAATGTTGACCAAAGACTGTGTTTTTAGTAGAAAATACGCGACAATTCACTTACAGGAATTTTCTGGGGCCACAATTCCACCTATGTTTGAAAATCGAGTACTTTTTGCCTTTTTTAAGAGCCAATAATCACAATTTTAATCTCTGCTTGAGCTATTTGATTGATTAGATCTGCAGGAAGCTATTCTTTCTGTGTCTTCACCAAATTTCATGGCTGTTGGAGTTTTATGTTCGGAGCTACTGAACCATTAAAACAGCTTCTCAGGTCAGAATACATACAAAAGCCCAAATATTTCACAGGTCCTAAATAACAACTGAGTCAACTCTGAGCAAATTCTATGACAGTGGATTTCCTGAATTCTGGATCCAACAAACAGTGCTGCAAAAAAGTACAGATATCTTCAATTTTTGCACATTTGTTGCACGTAAAAGTTCAAACTAATTTTAATATAGGACAAAGAAAACCTCGAAAAGCAGTTTTTAAATGATGGTTTCATTAATTTAAGGAAAAACTCTGTCCGGACAGTGAAAAAGTCATCACCCTATTAGCTACCAATCAACCAAATGACCACATTCAGTTGGTAGTTTGGATCAGTTTCACCATCCACACCTTTGGTTAATCTAAACATGACTGAAATAGAACCTGTCTGGTGCTGTGAAGAAGCTAACGGGTGTCAAAAAGCAGCACAAGTCTAAAGAGACTCAAGAACAGATGTCAAACAAAGTCACTGACATTTTTATCAGAAAGGGTTACCAAGGCATCGCTGAGGTTCTGGGACTCCAGAGAACCACAGCGTTAGACACTATCCACAAATGGACAAACATGGAACAGCGGTGAACCTTCCCAGGAGGCACGCCGACCAAAACGTCTCCAAACTTGTGACGGCACAGTATCCCTTATGCGCATCTGGCAGCCATGTGGACGGTGGTGCTGCTCATATTTTAGTCACTAATGGCAAAAGTCATCTTTAGTCAATTAGTTGTCAACTGTTAAACTAGTTGCTAATGATTTGGATCGCCAGTCTGAGCTACTCTAAAGAGAAAGGGCCTAAATTCCAGCTGCTTACATGCTAATAGAGTCATCCAGGAAGTCACAAAAGAACCCAGAAGAACATCAAAAGTTCTCAGTTAAGGTCAGTGAAGATGATTCCACAATAAGGAAGACTCCATGGAAGAGACACAAACCTCTCCTGACCAACGAGAACGTAAAGTCTCAACTGGCATTTCCAAAATAAACATCTAGATGAGCCCCAAGACTGTTGGACCGATGAGTCAAAGGTGGAACTTACTGAGAACATGGTATTGGCAGTGAAACATGGTGGCAGTCGTTTGATGGTTTGAGGACCTCGATGACTCCTGGAGAACATCCATCCATCAGTTCATGAACCTAAAGCGCAGCACTAACAGCTTCTGCAGCAGGACAGTGAGCCAAAGCACAAAGTCCACCTCTGAACAACTCCAAATCTGATTGAGATGCTGCTCAAGACCTTCTAAAGGCAGATCATCCCCAGAAACCATCTAATGAGGCCGAAATAAAACTATTCTGCAGAGAAGAGTAGGACAAATCCCTCCATGACCATGTAACAGACTGATCACAAACAAACGTTTAGCTGCCGTTGTTTAACCAGTTGTTAGGTTCAGGTGTCAGTCAGCATGAAAAATCTGCATTTTGTGTTTTGTGGGTCATTTCTGTCAAATATGAAATATTAGTTTGGTGATCTGGAGCATTTAAGAGTGAGAAATATGCAGAAACAGAAGAAGTCTACTTTTTCACAGCACTGAATATTTACAGAAACAATGAAAATCTAAGTTTAGAACAACACAAACTCCAACACGTCACTGAAACTTTGTTGGTAATTCAGGTTCTTAAGTCCAGAGATCTTTTTAAAAAACATTTATCCTTGTTACTGGTGATGTGTAATCGATCAGACAGCATTTTAACTCCATTTATTTTATCAGTGAAGGTTTTAAAAATAAAAAACTATCATGATAATTAGAGAAACGCTGAATCTAAGTCTGATGATGAACCAATAATCAGTCGACCTCTACAGGCTGCAGTATTTATACAGAAGTTGCCCAAAATAAACACACTGTGTTAAACATCTCCACGTCAGCACCGTGCGTGGTTAAAAACACTTTTTTCCGTACTTGTAGCATAAACTCTACGTCACCGACTGTCCTCAAACACACCTGTGGCCCTCAGATGAGTCAACCTGATGCAGACCTACAGCGAGCACTAACTCACCGCTAAACCACTCAGCTGCCCCTGTTTGACTCCTTCTCTGGCCTAAACACACGTCCCTGAACGCTCCGTCTTGGTTTCCAACAGCACCCGAAGGCCTCATCGGCCTGCGGCCCATTGCGCATGCTCCGGACGGAAGCAGCTGTTGCAGAGCTGGAGTTCCCGCTGAACACAGCCAACATCTGCATCATCTCCTGATGAGGCCACACCACAGCGACACACTCATGTTTGTGTGGTTTTTGTTGCTTAATCAGCGTCTCAGGAGCAAAGCGTCCAGAGGTTGGAGGTTTGATTCCCTCTGGCACCACCAACACTGAAACCTGTTGGGTTTTTGGTATAATTGTTGCTTGAACGCCGTATAAGCTCCATATTTTACGAAATATGTACAAAACATTAGAGAGACACTGAATGAAACTTGACCCAGAGTGCATGTGAAGACAGAGTGGCCACGGTGACTAACCGCTCATGAACTACACCAAAAGAAAAAACAAAAAAACAGCATTTGTGCTGCCTTTAAAACCACCTGGTTCTTATTAACATTTGGCCACAAACAACAAAACCTCCTGGTGCACTGTAAAAAACAACAGCTTTCCAGCTATTTTTGACCATTTTTTAAACATTACATTATTTTACAGATTTTGTTAAATTACAGACAATATCCAGTAAAATCCTAGAAAAGAAAAAAAAGAATTAATATGTCAATGATTTTAAAAAAGCAGGCTTAATCTGTCAATTTAACAAGTCGTTATCCAGTTTTTTACAGTGTATACATCACGTGGAACATGTTTTTTGCGACCTTGCTGCCAGATTGTCGCTGTGTGTTTTTAGCAAAAACTACGGTTTACTTTAAAATAAATTAATGTTTATTTTAACTGCTTTTTTTTTTTTGACACATCACTGTTTGTTTGTTTGTTTGTCCGAGTGTAAAATTAAACTATTTTTCCTGCATTCATTTCAGCAAATATTAAAATTATTTTACACAAATGTATCATTATTTGAAAGGAAATGATGTAAAGTAAACCATTGTTTACTGTTGTATTTACAGAATGTTCTTGTTTTAATAAATTACAGATTATAACTAGCAAAATCACAGAAAAAAGTTTTGATTTACACGTTGACTGTCAAAAACAAATAAAAATGTTCACTATAAAAAAACAACTGGCTAAAACTGTTAATACTGTTCACAATATAAATGCATTTATGAATAATTAATATTCATTATTTTACCATTTTGACTGCAAAATGAGTCTTTTCCTACCATTGGGTTCTCTGTTTACATGTAAAAGGTCCATACCTTACTTTGTTAAGCGCCATGTGACGATACATGTTGTACACAGCGATAATAACATTTAATTGAATTGAATTGAACTGAACTGTATGCAAATAATGGCTAAAATAATCTGTTATGTAAATATCAAATATGAATTTACATGTTGACTGTTGGGGCTGCAAGGTGGCGCAGTTGGTAGCACTGTTGCCTCGCAGCAAGAAGGTTGCCGGTTCGCGTCCCGGTGGGGGCACCGGAATC